AAATGATAAATTACATAACGATGTTATAATTAATTTAAACAATAACAAAAATATTGCTATTTTTTAAAAAATAAGTTATATAAGTACTAACTAATTTCTTTGTCACATAGTTAATAATTTTTAACACCACTACGTTTTCTTATGCTTCTGGGGTCGCTAATCACGAATTTGGAGTCAGAATAAAAAAAACTCAAAATGGCGGAACCAATATGGCGGGCTTTCAAAAAAATTTATCGAAATTTTTTAAAACTTCATTGGATTTGGTTTAAAATTTTTGCTCGGGAGTTTTCGGGGTTGCTGATTACGAATCCAATGTTAGTTTTTTAAAATTCAAAATGGCGGATCCAATATGGCGGAATTTTTTTTTAAATTTGCTTGGATTTGCTTAAAAATTGGTACTCGGGGGTTTTTGAGGTCGCCGATTACGAATCCGACGTTAGTTTTTCAAAATTCAAAATGGCGGATCCAATATGGCGGACATATTTTTTAAAAATTGCTTGCATTTGATTAAAAATTGGTACTCGGGGGTTTTTGGGGTCGCTGATTGCGAATCTGATGTTAGTTTCTGAAAATTCAAAATGGCGGATCCAATATAGCGAACGAGTTTCTCATAAAATTTATTTAAGCTCAAGAAATCCACAACTCAAGATTTTTTGAAATATGATGAATGCGAAACTAATGTCACTTTTTAAAAATTCAAATCGACTTTTCCAGAATAGTGAAGAAAATTCAAAACTATATTTTAGATCATAAATATCAATGTTTAAAAATTAACCATCTGTTTATTATTTAAATTTTATTCAATATATTATTTTTTAATTTTTGGAACACGTATAAAAGGGTAATTAAATTTTATTCATAAAATAATAGAAAAATTGTTATTATTATGATTACGTTCATTTGCATAGTAATCATCATTTTCATAAAAACGCGCGCTTTACCTCAATACTTTTGGCGCTTTGTTGACCTGTGTAGTCACCAGGTATTAGAGCGCTTTACATTGTAATTGAACTTTCGTCCGCAAGGTGGTGCATGCATAGTTAGGGTAGGTTCTCTCACAATCAAGACGCATTGAGAAGTATATATATAAGTACAGACAACTTTGAGATAAAAATATTACAAATTTTTCGTGTGTTCTTGCAGGTAGGTGGATACTAATAGTCTAAAAATATAAATCAGTTCTTTTCAGAGCTTTTCTTTTCCTTTCTCTCTTAGTTTCTTATTCTTTCCTATTCTTATTCTGTCTTACTCCTTATTCTTTTTTAGTTTTGTTTTCCTTACAAGCAGTTATTTTTGGATCATTTTTTTGTTTCTTTAGTTATTTTTCAAGTTTTTTTTGTACTTTTTTTATTTTTTTTTACATTTTTTCAGTTTTTTTAACTTATTTACGTTAATTTTTTTGTTAATTTTTTCCTATAAAAATTTACACTTTTAAATAAGTAAAATTTCTTTTCTCTAAAATGAATACTCGTTCTCGAGTAAGAAAGAACTTGGAAAATTTTTCACTTCCATCTGATCCGGAAGATTCAGAAGGAGACATTGAGTCTGAGGAAGAAGAAAGATATGATCTTTCAGATTCTGACGATGACGCGAATAGCGTAGACCAAGACAGCGATGATACCGATTGCAGTGATTCTGAAAATCCACACAATACTGAAAATGGAAAATGGGTGGCAGACCGTTGGAATTGTAGGGATAATTTGAATTTTGAAAAGGACCCAACAATTTTAGTACAAATGGGGAAAAAAGTCAAAGAATCCGATTTCTTTGATTTGTTTTTCACCCAAGACATTTTACAAAAAATTGTTGAGGAAACCAATATGTATTTTCATCAAAATAAAAAAAAAGAGTCAAAGTATGCTTATGAGTTATCGATTGATGAGCTACGTGCTTGGATTGGTATGTTGATATTGATGGGAATACATCGTTTACCTCAACAGAAAAATTTTTGGAGCACAGATCCAGCACTTAGAGTTGATTTTATTGCCAATATAATGACTCGTGATCGATTTAGAAAAATAGCTGAAATTCTTCACTTGAATGACAACAACAAAGTTCTTGAAAAAAGTGATCCGAATTATGACAGGTTGTTCAAAGTAAGACCGCTTGTTGATCATTTGAACAAAAAGGCTCAGGAAATTTACTCTCCTTCTAAAGTACTAGCTGTTGATGAATCTATGATAAAATTCAAGGGTCGATCATCTCTCAAGCAGTACATGCCAATGAAGCCAATAAAAAGGGGATATAAGGTCTGGTGTTTGGCTGACTCACAATCTTCGTACATTTTTAAGTTTGAAATTTACACTGGAAAATCCACAGATTCACAGAAGAGCCAAGAAACTCTTGGTGAACGAGTTGTTACGAATCTTACTAAGGATTTGCGTGGAAGCAAATCATTAGTAGCATTCGACAACTTCTTTACTTCTGTGGATCTAGTAACTTCACTTCTTCAAAATCAAATATTTTCAGTAGGCACTGTTCGGGTAAATCGAAAAGGCTTACCAGAGATTATGAAGAACAAAAAAAACTGAAACGAGGAGAGTCAGAAATAAGACACATGGGATGCGTTCAGGGAATCAAGTGGTTGGATGCAAAGATTGTCACTCTTCTTTCTACAGCTCATAATTCGGAGACATTGTCTACTGTAAAAAGAACCCTAAAAAATGGAAGTAGGATTAATGTAGAATGTCCAGGTGCTATTGCAACCTATAATAAAATTATGGGAGGTTTATCAAATTCATCATAAACGTGTGGTGGATCAACTCACATTCCGACTGAATTTGGCAAAGCAACTAATTGCAAAGTTTTCTGCTTCAAAAGGTCCAGCTTTGACAACTCATGTCACCAAAAAAAGAAAACATTTTGAAGAAACGTCAGAAATTGTTGACCACCTGCCCGACGTTCAAAAAAATCGCCGACGTTGCCATTTTTGTTCTACAAAGGAACAAGAAAAGCGAACAAACGTTGTTTGCATAGGGTGCAACGTCCCTTTATGTATCGAAGGATGTTTCCGTAAATTCCACGGTAAGTAGAAGTTACCTGAAAAAGTGTTATAGGGCTCTTGGCGATGGATCACTGTAAAAAAAATCCTAACGCGCCATTATCGGAACCTCTCAGGTGGTGTGGAAGACCGTGCTTCCTACAAACCTGCAAATCCAAGCAATTTTCAAAAAATATTCCGCCATATTGGATCCGCTATTTTGAATTTTGGAAAACAAACATCGGATTCGTAATTAGCGACCCCAAAAACCCCCGAGTACCAATTTTTAAGCAAATGCAAGCAATTTTTAAAAAATATGTCCGCCATATTGGATCCGCCATTTTGAATTTTGGAAAACAAACATCGGATTCGTAATCAGCGACCCCAAAAACCCCCGAGTACCAATTTTTAAGCAAATGCAAGCAATTTTTAAAAAATATGTCCGCCATATTGGATCCGACATTTTGAATTTTGAAAAACTAACGTCGGATTCGTAATCGGCGACCTCAAAAACCCCCGAGTACCAATTTTTAAGCAAATCCAAGCAAATTTAAAAAAAAATTCCGCCATATTGGATCCGCCATTTTGAATTTTGAAAAACTAACATCGGATTCGTAATCAGCGACCCCGAAAACCCCCGAATAACAAGTTTCAACAAAATCCGTCCGGTGGGTTTCCCGGGGGCACGAAAGGGTTAACAACCTCCCATTGTCCTCTTCTTCCCTAACTTGACACTTCCTCTTCAGCTCCTCCTCCTTGTCCCTTCGAATTAATTGTTCCTGGCTCGTTCCTCTCCGAATGCGATTTTGATTCTCTTGATGACAATTTTTTTTCCAATTTCAAAATGAATCACTTTATAGGTGTAGTTTTTTGTGGATTTAGGACTATTTCTTCGAAATTGGATGACATTTCCACATCTTTTGACACTAGGCATTTTTCTTTGCAGGTTTTTCAGGATTTCAGTCTCCCAATAAGTTGAGATTATCCCACCGCTGTCACCAAAAATTATTCCTGTAATGGAGCATTTACACCTTTGGTAAAAAAAATTTTTTATTTTGATTTTCGGAAATGCAAAGATCTGATTGGTTGTCCATTATCAATCAGATTGTGAACAACCAATCAGGTTTGTGTATTTCGGAAAATTCAAAAATAAAAATTTTTTTTACCAAAGGTGTAAATGCTCCGTAAATTACTAATTTCTAGTAAAAGTAATTCTAAATTGTGAATTCACCCTCTAGGTTGTGAATTCACCTTTATCCTTACGTAGAGTTATGTTAAATACCGCTTTAGTCGTTTCCAATTCAAAAGCACCCTTAATATTATGAAATCACCTTTAATTTACCATGTGATTTTAGCGTAGCGTTACACACACTGATCTCTATATATAACTGGATGGGCGATTGTGTCGCCTACCGTATTTTTATTAGAAGACCGGAAACGCCATTTTTAATCTTCTCGGTTGTTAAAAAGTGGCGGGAGAATTCAAATAATTTAATGAGATTAAAATATATAGAATAACAAATTAAATAATTAATTGTCAATAATTTTAATTTTAAATCATTTTAACGTAACTGATAGTATTATATTATTATTATTATTATATATTAAATTAAAAAAGTAGTTACAAAATTAATTAATTCTTATGAAATAATTAAATATATTAATTTACTTTTTCTAATTAATAATTATAATAAATAATATAAATTATTTAATGTTTAAAATTTCTAATGTCATACTTAAAAAATTTTGTTACTGTTTTCTCAGTTTAAAAAAATGTATAGAAATATTAAAGTCAAATTTGTAAACATAAAAAAGGATATGACAATAAATAAGTATGCATAACTTGTAAAAAATTTATATATTTTTGTTGCTTTATATATATATATATATCAATGAAACAAAGTAGACGCTGGTAATACGGCGCACGATCATTTTCCTGCTACTGAATTGATGTTTTCCAATTTAAAAATTCCAGGTCAAAATTCAGGATATTCACAATAGAATTGATTCATTTATAACATCTGTCTAAAAATCTTCTTTAAAAATATTAATTGCGGTAGGAGATACCTGAAATAGCTGCAAAAATATAAATGTAAAACTGTTACTACTAAAAGTAGTATATAGTTAATGTAAATATAATAGAAATTAATTAGAAGAAGAAAAAAAATACTAAAATTCAAGCGTATCATAAACCATGAAATAAATGAGTATTTACAATGAATTTTTTCTAGTTTATAAAGTAGAAGTATAAAAATGGAAAAATTCTATAACTCATAGTAACAGAGTTTAAAAACAATACAACAATGTTATCGTCAAAATTAAAAAAAAAATTGGAAAATCTTAAGTCTTATGATGTACAATGAAATATTTTGTGCATAAAAGTTTTTATAGTAACAAATATTAAATTATTTAACTCAGAAAAAAATTCCCATACCATCTCTAAATGCATGATAACAATATTTACACTACATTACTTAAGTACAAAGTGCATATTGCCGCATGAAATAAATAAAAACACCTATTCAATAAACTTTCACAGTACAAATTATTAAACCAAAAAACAAATTATAAATTTGTTAATTATAACAAATAATAATTTTATATAAATAAATAAATAAATAAATATATTAAATATGTGTAACAATTAACATTAAAATTTGAAGAAAACATTAAAAAGTCTTAAATCGTATATGCACAATGAAAAGTTTGTACATAAGTCTTTTATACTGAAAATTATTAAACCGTTTAACATAAAATACCAACATAATCTCTAAATTAAGAAAACGATATTTACTTACCATAACTAGTATTACTTTTACTGAAATATGTTCTATTCTACTTATGAAATTAAATAAAAATGTACGAGGTGCATGGTGTAGAATGAAATGTGATAGAATGCGTGCAATTGTAGATGATTCTAAAGAAAGTTATTGGTTTTGCCAAATAATTTGTCTATTTAAATAATGTCGAATTTTTTGGCCTACTTTTTGGTCAGAAATTGCTTTTGTAGCGGAAAACATGCGTAATTTTATATACGTTTGACAATTTTTTTTTGATAAGTTATATATGAGGTTGCCCTCTTCCGGTGCATCATCAAATAAATGATTTGTCAGAGAAGGAAAGAGATTACATTGAGATTGAAGAAGATCAAAAAGAACTTTGGAACAAAGCACAGCAGAGAAGTTTTGCTCTTTTGGTATCATGTTACCAATTTGGTGAAGAGAATATTTGAAAAATTGTTCAGTTCTTTGACAAATTAAAGTGACTGATTCACTAGGATAAATAAGTCCTCCTTGACTTTTAGCTTGAATTAAAAAATGCTCTTGAAATTCTGCTTCTGATTGGCAAGGTTGAAGAAGCGCCTCACGACACTTAAGACATTGTAATCGCAAATAAGTTTATTGATCACTTAAAATTTTCCGAACTACCCATCCAGCAATGTACGAAACGCAACCTTCCGAGAATGGAGATAGTGGATCGGGTAAAGGAGCAGCGGTTATTGAAAAGTCATGAAAGTAATCATTATCTTCAATGTGATAATCTACTTCCGCGAGACCATACTTTTTTCTACCCTCAGATTACTTACTTCGTCATAAAGTGAGAGATCATAATAATCTATTCTTTTTGTTCTTGACCTGACACTAGGTACTGTTAGAATAGTGGTTGAATCCATCGCTTCAACGTTGCCATTTGTAGCTACTACTTCATGACGAACAAGAAGCCTTTTATATGCTACAACAAATTGACTGCAAGTTGGACTTGTGCACCAACCACCACATTGCCTTATTGCGCAAAAAAACAATTCCAAATGATCTTGGCTTAATTTATAGGTTAAAAGATACAAAATTTGAGAACCCTCAGGTTTCACGTGCAAATCAAAAATTCCAATTACAGAAATTGCAGCAGTTATAAAACCAATGAAAGGAACATAACGCCTAGTCTTGAAAATTGACAGACCGGAAACGTCTGTTATTCCTTTTAAATATTCAATTTCTGCTAATATGTTTTCTCGCCAAAAAACTTCGTTTGATTTTCGCATTGGAGCTTTAAACCCTTTTCCGAATGGGTTTCGTGAATTTAGGAAATCAAAAACTCTATCTATGCAACGGATAAACCTGACGGTCCCTGAACTACCTTGAAAATTTTCTAAGTATAAATATTTATCACAGTATTCGATAGAATTTGCAGTGCTACAGCTTAAGGTCTGAGTGGCTAGCATCACTTTCATTTTCATTTTATAAAAGTCTATATGTGCCCTACGAAGTTTGTTCCCCGCTCTCAGCCCTTCCTCTTCTTGTAGATTAACTAAATTTTCAATATAACGCCATTCAATATTGTTACCGTCTTTGTCCTTTAAAATTTTTAATTGCCCTAAACAATTGCGAAATAACTTTACCATGTGACATGCGTCAAAAATGATAAATACTTTTTCTCCGGTAGACGGGTGATTGAAAAAGGGTTGCGGGTTTGGTAAGTTAAAAGTAGCACCAAGCAATTTCATTGCAGCAAAATGTTCTGCTGTTCCATCTAAGGTCAATGAAACTACTTTAATTTTTAAATCGTTTAATAAAACTAATGCATTTGAAATCATTCCAGAAGTTGTAGCTGAATCCATTCCATTCACAACTACGTAACCTATCGGAAGCTTCCAGATACTATCTACTGACACTACCATCAAGACAACAGCTTCTTTTGCTAACTGCAAAGTGTCGCTATCTTCCATTTGAGAACATATATCAACATACCCTCGCACTTTCCCGTTCGGAAGATACTGCAAGCCTTTTTTTATGGACATTCCGTCTATCATTAAACTAACCAAAACTTTTTTTCCTTGTTCGTCAGCTTCTGACACTTTCTGACGTAAAGCATCAAAACTTTCTGTCGTAAAGCCTGGTTCTCCGTTTAATGAAGAATTTATAATAACTATATTTCAGTGTATATGTACAAAACTAAAAAACTTTTTTAAAACTTACAGTCTCCTTTAATGGGTACCTGATTTAAAATATTTCGCATTTTGTATGTTGTATGAAGAATACCATTCTTTTAAAGTTCTAGGATGGGGAAGAGCTTTGCAAAATTTTCTTCTAACAAAAGCGTATGCTTTTGGGGAATAAAAATGCAATGTACATGCAAATGATCTTAAAGCAGGTGGATACTTTTCCTTACAAATGCCTTTTTGTACTTTGCGACGTTGAGATTTAAAAACCCTTTTTTTAACAGGAGACTGCGTTTCAGAACTATTTTGATTTTTGATAAATCTGCTAATAAGCTGGGAAACATCACTCTCTGCAAAACTATCTAAACATGCAAGCCCATTTTCCGAAACAGCTCGAGTACGTCGTAATTCTCTTACGATGTCGCTGAGAGTGGAGACTTTCTTCCGAAGACGCTTGATAATCTGCTTCTGTTTTTTTGCTGTTGTTCTGCTCTTTTCTAACTTTTGTCGCATTCCATTGTATTTCCTTGTTAAGCATTTGGGACTAGAATGATAATGATGGTCATGATTGAGACTTGTTATTTGTTGCGGAGTTGTTGGTCTCTCAGGAGTCTTTTGTTTACTCGGGGTTGATGTCGATTCAACTGACGATTGCAAATCTAAAAAAGTATTATATAAGCATTTACATTAACCAATACATAATTTATAATAACTATATTTCAGTGTATATGTACAAAACTAAAAAACTTTTTTAAAACTTACAGTCTCCTTTAATGGTTACCTGATTTAAAATATTTCGCATTTTGTATGTTTTTTAATGAACATGAATGTTTATTAGACAAAACTCCTGTCATTTCAATCTGTCCAATAGCGTTATCTTCTATTAAATTAATTTCAGCATCTTCTCTTGATTTAAAACGCTTAACATTTTCTATATTTTCAAATACACCTGACCGTTTTTTTGTGGATACTCCTGACATTTCATTTTGATTTGCATCTAATTTAACAGAATTTACAAGAAGAATGTAAATTATAAAAATCCCAACACCAAATATATGTACTGAACAATAATTACGCTGGATAATTTTCAAAGTTTAATATTTTCCTATTCAAGGCTTATTCATAAAAATATATTAACAGTATTTTTTTTTAATAAATAAGCAATAGTATGTAAATTTGTATTTTGAACAAATTTTTGATAACGAATTTGAACCATTAATATTAATAATAATAAATATAAATATTAGACATATTAATTAATATTATCAATATTAATAACAAAATACCTTTTAAGATATCTGGGAAAAATAATGTTGGTATAGCATTGGACTTTAATATTTGTCCACTTGTATTTCGTTTATAAAAACAATTATTCTCAAAATGTTCATGACAAATGAGACTTCTCTCATTGGGATAAAAATTCTCTAATCCAATATTTTTTATCCAAGTTTTTAAAAGTTTTTCATTTTTGAACGGAAATCTACGAACAGTTATCATAAGTATGAGTACAAAACATTCGCAAAAAATTTCCTTTTACAACTATTGGCAAGGTTTTCAATCACTATATAAAAAGATATTTAAAACTAAATTAACTATAACAGTAAAATAATATATTATATTTAGAAATGTATTATTATTATTATTATTATTAGAAAATGAATTAAAAATTTATGTAAAATCAATTTTCTTACTTGCGAAAATTTACGTGGCATCCTATTTTTTTAACGTTATTGCAAGAAATACACTTCAAATAATAACTTTCAAAAATTGTTGGTATGCTTTCTAAAAGAATTCTTTCTTTATCATTTGTTGCTTTTGAGAAACATTTTTCATCAAAGTGATCGCCACATAACCTGCTAGTTGATGTTAATTCAAAATTTTCATCTAAATTCATATTTTTTATCCAAATTTGACGAAGTTCAGGACGTATCGGGAATCTGAAAATTAAAAAACATTTTAATTGACGATAAAAAATTATCTACTACATTTAAAAAACAAAAATTTAATTATTAAAATTTGTTATTTCTTAACATTATAAATTTTTAGTAAAACTACTTAAACTCAAATTTTAAAGATTAATATTATTCTTTGAATGAAAACAAAAACACAGATTGCATGTAAACAAATCTTACTGATGAAATAACCTTACTTTTTAAAAATTAAAATAATAACGCATATACTACAATTTATAAAAAACAATTGTATAAGTAAAATTAAAATCATATTTCGAAGTGGCAAAGTAAGTAGGAAAATATTTATAGTGTAGAACGTAACGCATGTAAAGAAAAACAAAAATATAACCTAAAAATTAGACAATTTAATAATATTATAAAAATATGTACTCACATGTGAAAAGAAACACCTTTAGCATCTTTTTTGCCACAATATACACACACCAAAACCATTTTCACTTTTTTTTAAACTTATATTAATATATCAATAAATTTTTTTTAACCAGTTTACATATCAGGAGAAAAACAACACCAACACTAACTCGCGAATCACACGGACGTGCGCACACAATGACAGGAGTGTACATCTGAGAATATTAAATATGGCGACCAGTGTTTCAATTAATACTACACAGGAAGCGACTTTTCTATATGAGTCGCCCATCCAGTTATATATAGAGATAAGTGGTTACACAGTATACCGTAAGTAGTATACACACCGCGCGTCAGCCCCAGGAGTATTAAGTCAGGCGCGACCGCCGTTACGGATACGGATCGATCACACGTAGCCGCCATTACACGAATGAACACGTATTTTCAATTTCTTGAGAAATATAACACATTATACCCAAAAATTCTTTTAAATTCTTTATTCATTACACATAATGAGGGTATATTTTTAATAGACCCATTTTTACCAATAAATTTAATTAAAGAAAGCGACTTAAATCCATATTTGGGCATAAATCGAATAATAAAATATTTATTACGCGATAGCACCATAAACACATGCGTAGAAGCAAAAGTGTAAATAAATTATACTGTATTAGTATTTCAAACAATACATTGTGAAAGAAATACTGATATTGCAGGGGTTCTAGGACTCCCTTTTTCCCTTGATATAATTAACGAGTTATTTTAATCACTCCTCCTATCTTAAGTAAACCATTAACAACAATGGCTAATGATAATACTAGACACACCATGACCGGTAATATAGATAGAACCCTAAGCGATTCTATGATCACTTCTATGGCAGAATGTTTTGCGTTACAACAAGGTATGATGAACATTCCCTTTTATGATGGTAAAAATATACCCGTAAGAGATTTTATTGAAGAAATAATAAATGGTGCTTCCAGCATACCAATCGGTTGTGAAGATCAATATTTAAAATGTATTCTTTCTAGATTAAAGGGTACTGCAAGGGATAACATGATGCCGATAACATGATGAGACCTTTAGCAGATTGTGCTCTAGAATCATTTAACTGAGGACTCCCAGACTCTATGTCTAGCGCCATTGAAGCTAGAAATTTACAAACTTTGGACGAAGCATTTAAAAGTGCTTTAGAATATGAAGCCCGTCATCAATCCTATAAGTCAGACTATAACACTTATCATTATTAACGATCCAATCAATCTAATGATTATGGAAACAGAGAAAGAAGCCTTAGCCCAGGGGTGCGATTTCCTTATCCTGTGGAACAACCCAAATATTTTTCCCAACCAACAGGCCCTTCAGGAATATTAAAAAATCCTTATTCATCTCAATTTTCGGGCACAAATAATCAACAACCCTATCTTAATCATCCTAATTATTTTCCTCCTAACGCTTATGTTCCTTACAATTCATACCCTTATTTTTCTCAAATACCTCGATTAGAAGGTCAATATTATAAACCTAATGAAGGTTCTAGAACGCCTCCACAGGCGCAGTCTCCCCACTCCTTAGAAAAGGACAATTTAAACTCAAACATGGCTCGACGGATAGACGCGACGACGAGTGGGAATCTAAAAGAGCGTCCAATAAACGTGAGGATTCTACGATCACAAGAACCATCTTGCATGCAAGAAACTCAAGAGAATCACCAGTAATAAAAATAAGATCACCTAGTTTCATAGAAACAACTGCATCAATACTAATTGACACTAGAGCAGATGTTAATTTAATAAAACTATGCGTCTTACAACCAGAATTAGAAGTAATTCAAGATGAGGCCATCCACATAGCTGGAATAGTTCCCATAAAATTTAAAACACTAGGAACTGTGCAAGTGGAAATTCATGGAAAATCAGTAACTTTCAAAACAGTGCCTTCAAACTTTCCCTTTGAGTCAGATGGTATTCTTGGAAGAGAATATTTAAGAGAAGAAAAAGTCGAAATATCTTTTTGGCATAACACTTTAGTGACTCATTCTAATCCTATTCATCCTATATTCTTCTCTGACAATGAATCGAAAGAAGCAAGAGAAAATCTAACGGAAAATAAGACAAATAAAAGGCTGAATTTAACCATTAAAGCAAGAACAAAACAAGTAATACCAGTTGAAGTATTAAATACCGATTTAAAAGAAGGATATTTACCATTACTAGATACAACTGAAGGATTAATAATAGGTAAAGGAATAGTAACAAACAACGACGGTATATGTCATGTTTACGCTATAAATACAACAGCAGAAGACATAGAAATTGAAATTTTACCCCAAGAACTTATACCATTTGAATTTTATAAGCTACCAGGTGAAGATTCTAACGAATATTCTTCAGAAGAAGAATATATAGAACCCCCAGATAAAGCCACTGCTGTTATAAAACATTTAAGATTAAATCATTTAAATGAAGAAGAAAAAGAACATGTCAAACAAGTGATACAAGAATTTCCAAATAATTTTAACCTTCCAGGTGAACACTTAACGTCAACACATTTAGTACAACATAAAATACTTACCTCAGATGAAATACCTATACATACAAAGCAATATAGATTTTCTCCATCCCAAAAAGAGGAAATCGATAAAGTCATCGATAGAATGAAGTCGAAAGGTGCAATAGGACCTTCTTGCTCTCCTTATAACTCCCCATTACTCATAGTTCCAAAGAAAATTGATGGAACTGGAAAAAAGAAGTGGAGAATAGTAATTGACTTCAGAGCATTAAATGATAAGACCGTAGGCGACTTTTATCTCCTACCCCATATAACTTCTATCATAGATAATTCGGGCAATGCCTAGTACTTTTCTGTATTTGATTTAGCCAGTGGATTTCACCAAATAGAGCTAGATCCAAAGGATGGAGAAAAAACCGCATTCTCAACTACACATGGACATTATGAATACATTAGAATGCCAATGGGATTAAAAAATTCACCGGCCACCTTTCAAAGATTAATGGACCAAGTATTAATTGGATTACAAGGTGCTGAACTATTCGTCTACCTAGATGACATAGTAATCTACGCTAAGGACCTAGAAGTACATGGAAAAAAGGTGCGAAGATTATTAAGCAGACTTAAAGAAGCAAATTTATCCTTGCAACCTCAAAAATGTGAATTCTTGTTTAAAGAAGTAGCATATTTAGGAAATATAATTAGTAGTGAAGGTGTAAAACCTAACCCCAAAACGATAGAAGCAGTTAAAAACTTCCAACCCTAAAAACACCCCGAAATGTAAAACAATTCTTAGGCTTGGCTGGATATTACAGAAGATTCATAAAGGATTTCTCAGCAAAGGCAAAACCTCTGTCAAACCTATTGAAAAAGGACATAAAATTTAGTTAGGGGACAAAAGAAGAGAGTAGTTTTAAAGAACTAAGAGAAGCATTATGTACAAGCCCTATTTTACAATACCCAGATTATGACAAACCATTTACCATAACCACGGACGCATCTGATTTTTCGATAGGTGCTGTTTTAAGTCAACAGAAAGACGGCTTTGATTTACCCATAGCTTATCTCTCTAGAGTATTAAATGCTCCTGAATTAAACTACTCAACAACGGAAAAAGAATGCCTAGCTGTATTATACGCTGTTCACAATTTCAGACCATATATTTACGGAAAGAAATTTACATTAATTAGTGATCATGAACCTTTAAGATGGATAGATACAATAAAAGACACTGGGCAAAGATTAATAAGATGGCGACTAAAATTGAGAGACTACTCTTATGAATTTCAACATAAATCAGGAAAACTAAATACCAATGCAGATGCATTATCCAGAAATGTCATAACTGATGATTCAGAAGAAGATTCCCAATTGGAAAGAAACAAGTCGCGAATCAAAATATTAATGAATCGAAAAACTGATACACCTAAACCACCCCCTAGACTTAAGCCAAAACCAAAACCCAACCCAATCCCAAAGCCAACTCCTAAACCAAAGTCAATTTTAAACCCATCCCCATCCAGAACAAATTTATATGAAAGTACTATAGCGGAAAGAGCAGCAAAAAGAAGAGCTTTACAACCTAGAGTCAAAATAATCGAAGATTCGACTAATGATGAAAGCTACAATGAAGAAGAGATTGAAATACCTCAACTCCCAATTCAAAAACCAAGTAGAAGTGTACTTCCCAGTCTACAACTTCCTCCAATGTCATTACGAACGGAACCAGGTCCAAAAAGCGCACCTCCCGAAATAATCACAATGGAAATACCTACTATAGAACCAGAAATGCAAACAATAAATACATTAGATCCTCCAGCAAGTGGAAGCGATAGTAGCTCAGAAGAAGAAGAATTATGCCTAACAAAAGAAGAAATAGCTAAAACATTAGACAAGTCAGTAATACAATTTAATGAATACTTATTAAATCGCCCGAATTCAATAAGAATTTCACCAAGAAATTGGACAACAAATTCTGATGGAAATGACGATGAAGAAATACATAAAACAGCAAACGAAATAATAACTGGGGATCACTCAGAATTTTCCAAAAAACTAGATTATTATTGGGATTACGCTAAAGGTGAATCAATATGGGAACAAAACCCAGAAGAAAATCCAGAAAACAAAAATACAGACTTACAATACGAAACGACAGAAGAACAATTAGAAGAGATTCACCCACCCCACCATATAAAAAATCCTAAGGCTTTTTCCACACCGTATCACACCTCTCTGTACGAACAAAACGAATCCATTTCCGAAAAAGAAACTTCAGAAGAAGAAAGTGAAGAAAAAAAAACAACTAAAAGAAAACCAATGATAAACGCATCATTATCAAAAATTCAACCTTCAATTTTGCCTAAATATACAAACACAAAAATTAAAAATATTACTAGTAGCAGAGAAAATCTTATATATTATAGAAACAATTATGTTCATTTTCTAGCAGCTGATTGTGAATTCACCACACCGATAAGTAGATTACTTATCGATATTGGAGTACTAGACCCATTAGAAATAAAGGCAAAAAGACCTATAAAAGGACAAATTTATGTTACCCCAAGAGGAAAACATAATATCTACACCATAATTGTTAAAAATAATCATTTTGAACCTTTAATAAAAGAAGATATTATGATAGGAATGCGTAATTTAAAAAAACTCCTTTACCACAAGAAAATAGAAGAAATACATAATTCTCGACATGGAGATATTACTGACGAATTAATTAGAGGAGAATTTCTTCAAATTATTAATTCTATTTTCGAAAATAGCAATATTCAAGTAACCATTTGCTATGGACAAGTATCAGT